CTCCTCTTCGGCCAGCTTTGCCCGCGACATGTCAGCAAATACCTTTCCCCTTGAGGCAAAACTCCCCGACACAACAACCGTGACCTGGCCCATAGCCGCGGCCCTCGAAAAAAGTAGACCGATCCTCCCACCTACAAGCGTTTGCTGTCATTGACCAAGAGGCCATTTGACCCTCATAGATCGGCCAACTCCTGCAAGCCAGCCGTGACGCCGCCCAGCTCCGCTCTCGTGTGCCACGCGACAAGCAGGGGTGGTAGTTGGGCATGATTTCCTACGGAGCACCTCGTAATAACATTGTACATACTACGTATTACAATCTTGCCCGAAATAGTACACACATACAAAGACTACTACGACTACGGAGCGCCCGTCGACCCGTCTTGTTCCAGAAGCATATGTGGAACTGTATTGTACCATATTGCACCGCAATACTCATCTTAAAAATGCTTGTTCGATGGCTCCCACCCCTGTCATGCGATGCAATGTCATGTCATTTGCGCCGATTCTGCTTGGCTTGGTTGAGCATGCGCCGCTCACCTTGTTGATCCATCTGCTTCCCGCAAAAGTGCTAGCATTGGTATCGGTACAATGCCGTATTGAGAAATGCCGTCCCAGGCACGGCATAATAGGGCGCCCAAGGAAAAGCAGCAGCACCGAGTCTAATTATTGCCCCAAGGCTGCCTGCCTGGCCTTGGCCGCCGACAGCCGGTCGCCGTTCCGAGTGGGACTTTTAACTTTGGGACGCGCGGAGCTTGGGACGAGGGTTGAAATTAAAGGCGAATAGCTCCTCGCTGGCGTCGCAGACTTGATGACCTGCCTTTTTAAGTACCTAGCTTTTGGTAGGTTGGGCACTGAAGCACGGAGTACGTAGTACTTGATATACGCAGTAATAGGCTTGGACGACCCGAATCAAACGACCTTGCAGTAATCTTTAGATTCAAAACCCTGTAATATCCAAGACAAGCACGCTGTCGACCCTCGCAATCTCCATGGCAGTAACTCCGGACTCGCCGACTTGGGTTCCTGCACCTCACGCACTCTTGCATATACTACCATTCAATATACATAGTAATAAACCGTTGTCATGATTTCGGTTCCGAAAGCCCTACATAGACAAGCTATGGATCTTGATACTCCGCTATATCATCCCATCCCATCTCATCCCATCTTACCCCGGCCAGTCCATCCAATACTTGAGCCCCATTATACCTGATATGTTGTTGCCCCTGCATCTACAACCATTTCCCACGGCTGATGAAAGAATAGCCCGATGTTTTCCCCAAGCCTACGCCACGTGCCTTGTAATTACTTGCTTACATTGGCGCGCTGGCACAAGGTTGAAAACGGAAATAAGAAACAAAATAATTCGCACCCCCTTTGCTTTTGTTGAAAGTGAATCTGCTACACGACAGGAAACATGGGACAAGGCGGAGGCGTATAAAATCGCCATGGCTGAAGGGTACAAGACACGGAAAGAGAATAACGAAAAAGGTATGTAGAATTCGTTTAGCTGCTGATTGTTCGCTCAACGCATTCAAGGAACTGCATCCGCCTGTCAGCTTTGGTTCTCCACTTTGCGCTACACAACATGATAAGCTTACCTTTTCGGACACGACACCCTGGTTGCCCAGGTACCGCGACATGCTCTTGACCAGCTCGATTTGCTCTTCCGGGCTCAAGCTCGTAATGGCAGTCTCAAGAACCGTTCCGACGTTGACCTTGTGGAGAGAGATGAAGGTGTGGTAGTACATGTACGCGAAGAACCCCATGATGAACTGACAGTCCATGCGATCCGTCATGCCGCCATGTCCTGGAATCGAGTCACCGAAATCCTTAATTTTGAAGCTACGCTTCAGCCCAGAAGCAAAGAAGCCTCCGAACGGAGCGATGAGAGAGGCAAATGATGCCAAGACAAGAGCGTGAAGCTGCATGGGAGCAAACGTGAAGGAGATATTTGTAAAGCTTGGCGGCAAAAAGAACAACTGGGGCATATGGTACGTGCGAGGTATGAAAACGGGATTCGGATCGCATTGAAGGCCGGTGAAGATGGTGGCGCCGAGGTCCTACGTATAAATGTTAGCGGAAGCTCGACGCTGCGATAAACCAAGGTGCGCGTCCTCTTACATTGACGGGGCAGATAAAGTACTTGGATCGGACCATCAGGTTCACGAGGACCATGCCAAAGAGAACAGTGGCAATCCAAGCACCAACGAATCCTTCCACAGTCTTCTTGGGCGACAATTTGATGAGTTGAGTGCGGCCAAAGGCAATGCCGCAAATGTAGGCAAAGATGTCGTTAGTAATGACGAGGGCGGCAGGCAAGAAGAACCAGATCATGCCCTCAAACACATTGTTCATGACGAAATGGGCCTGAACGACGATGAGGTACAGCGCCATGTGCGTCCATGCAAAGTTGGTAAATTGGAACTTGTAGTGTCCGGCTTGGAGCGATGCGACGAAGAAGACGAAGCCTGCTCTGATGGTTAGCTTCTCTTGAGGGGAGACCAAAAAGAGCAGGAGAAACGCAGAGTCTTCAAGAAAGAGAGGCTCAACCTACCGAAAACATAGAGGATGAAGCTGATGAAGCGATGGTGGGTGGCAAGCGGTAGCAGGACCTTATCAACCAAGACAATGTGCTTGAAGTAGTATATGACGCTTTCGCCGTAAAGAAAATACATGGTGGTAGCCAACCAGTACCAGTTGAGACTCTTGGTAGATCGAAGGGATCGGGCTCGGCTCGGAACATTTGCAATGGCTATGACCTCCTTGAAGGAAACAATCTGAACCATGGTGACGATGATGATGATGTAGATGTGGCCCATGAAAAGGGCGGTAAAGAAGGCGCCTAGCATGCAAAGAGTCCAAAAGGTGCGAGTAATGAAGTTGGCCTTTTTCTTCTGATATTCTTCTTCGGGGGTGGGAGGTTTCTGGAAGTCAGGCATGGTCAGCATCCATCATTAACTGCAAGTCAACTTGGGGGTGGCCAACCTCTTCGACGGGAGGAAGCTGCATTGCCTGGACCTTTCTGGTCCGCGTGGGAGAACCACTCCCATCCTCGCTGGCATCGCTGAAGCTAGAACGGCGACCCTCGGAGCCGTTGGCCTGGCCGTTGCTGTGGGGGAACCTAACCCCTCGCTTTGATCTGCCCATGGTTGAAGCTGTGAGCAGAAAGTGGGAATCAGGGCTCGAGGCAAGGGAAAACAGGCGTATCCGTGTCGTCGCTGTGCTGTCGATTTATATTGTCGAGTACGTGTAGCAGCACTTGAAAGGACGACGTGGCACGGCCGAGGTCTGGGGGACGGTGGTTGCGTGGCGTGGTTGTCGCGGCTCGTCCGGAAGGTCACGGCTTGAAAAGAGAGGGAAAAGCGGAAGACGCAAAGGATAGGGATGCGCCGTACAGCCGCGACAAAGCTTGCAGCACGGAGCTGAAGCTTTACTGGCGGGGAAAAGAGGCAATGTCCAGGCACGAGTTGCCAAGGAGTCGCCGGGCCAGCAGAGATGTGCAGTTGGGGGGAGGGGTCAACTGCAGACAGAGAGAGTGGTTGTCGGTGATGGCGGAGACTGGTGGTTTTGAAGAATGTCTGGTTGGATTGTTGGACCGTTTGGGGTTGATGACGATGCGGAGCGGCAGAACATGGAACCAGCGCGACCTAACCTTGAATGCTGACTGGCACTTGCACTTGCCTAGGCAATTGATTGTGTGCCTTGTGCGCTCCCTGACTTCAGCCGTCCCCCGTGCTCCCGTGCTCCGTGTCCCGTCTCTCTGTCGGTGGTGGGTGGTGTGCGGACGTGGCGGGTAAGTTAATGGGCTTAGGCTTATTAGGCATTAGGCTGGCCCTAACCAGTGCTTGGATGCATAAAGCGTGGTTGGGCGATCTGGGGGCGGAAGAACCAGATTGAAGGCCAGTCTGAGACTCTTCAATTGCTTTCTTTTAGGCTAAAAGTGGGCCTGCCTGAGTTTTCCCCTTCCGCATCAATTGACTGGATTTCAATGTTTCCCCGGCGGCCGCTCTCAACATTGGAGGTCTAATGTCAACAGACGGCTTCCACCCTCAACGAGACGGCGTGGCCACTTGTGGCGGCTGGCCGTGTTTCGTGGCTGGCCGCCGCCAACCCGCTGTTTCCGTCGTGGTCTCGGAGGCGAGTCTATTCTCCCGTTGACGTCACCTGCCAAGCAAGTACTTGGGTGCCGGCTTTATGCGTGGTGCACAAACATGGCTCCAGCGGACTTGACGGAGTTAACAATTGCTCGCATGCATTCGTTGTACAACACAATCACAAGAAGAGTCGGCATCAGCGTGCGCGTCAGGGGGTGGGCCGCAGCCACAAAGCCTGACGAATCTAAAAGACCAAAGTCCGGTGTTCAATGAGTCTGCTTGATCTTTTCAATCTGGGTCGACACTGCAGAATCGACGGTACGTACGGAGTACCTACCTAGGAAGGTTTATGGTCGGTTCCTTCCATCTATCCTCGATATACTCCGTACAATCTGTTGTCTTCATCAATGCCCAACACTGTGGGTCTTGTCCTTAGACTCCTCGGTCCAATATTTCGCAGACCGTCGTCACAAGCAGCTGTTACCAGCCTCCAAGTGCGCAAACGGCCTCTGATGGACGGCACGTGCTGCTTGGCAAATTGCGCATGATATGTTGCCGTTCTGGAGTCTGGACACTGAGCCATTGGCCACTCAGCTTCGTTCCCCAACCCACACTAGCAACGTCTGTGGCACTACGGAGTAGTTAGTATTAGACTATTAGTTGCCGTTCAAGCCACACTTGACTCGCCCAGACCTTAGCCACTTGAGGCATATGCGTCTTCAAATAAAAAAAACGTGACTACGCGATGAGTTGGCGATTTTCGACCAACATCCATGTCGACCCATACCCGGCTTGCGTGTACTACTTGCATTATTCGCCTTCATTCACATCAAGCTTGTACTCCGTACATCGCATCGCTTGTAGGGGCAATGAAGTCGTCGCGCCGTCGCGTCTACGGAGACCATGGATGCCGACGAGTTTTCCGATGGCGGCTTCGATGACCTCACCGATAATGCCTTCCAAGAACTCGAACGAAATGCCATCCAGCTCACCCAGGCTCAGATAAAGCCATCACTTTCCCGGGATCCACCGCAGAAGCTTTCTGACTATGGCTGGGAGGAGGAAGACGACGACTTGGACAATACCGAAGTCACTAATCACGTTGGTGTTCCCATTGGCCGACCAGTCATCAACAATTCCAATTCGCGGCAGCATCATCACCAACCTGCACATGCCGGCTCACAAGCTTCGCGTCGACCGATACCTCCTGTGCCGAATCCACGATGGAATCCGGCTGTAGACCCGCCCTCCCGGTCCGCTTCTGGCGCAGCGTCTCTTCATCCGCCGCCAAAGGCCAGAGGCTTCTCTGGCTCTCAGTTGTTCCAACCACAGCCTCCGACACAGGCCAGCCAGTATGCTCGGCCGGCGCTGCCACCAAGTCGCCTTCCCGCATCCCAAACTCCTCACACTGGCCAGGCCGGGGACATTGTATCCGCTCTTCAACAGCGAGTGCGTGCACTTGAATCCGAGCTGCATTCAGCCCGTGGCGAGGCCTCTATTATTCGCGCAAATGCCAGCAAGGCACAGCATGACTACGATTCCCAGGTGGCACGGCTCAAGAAGCTCAATGCTGAGCAACTGGAAAAGCAAGCCAGGGTTGTCGAGGCAGCCGTGGCAGCCGAGAAGAGTGCCAATACTGAGCTGCAGTTCTTGCAACGAGACATGCGAGAGGTTAATGATCGAGCAAGGAGGAAGGACATTGGGGGTGGTGGGTTCAACACCACGCCGAAAAAGGCTGCCAAGTCGTGGGGGATCGCGGATGGCTTTGATGAAATGGACATTGCCGCAAGCCCGAGTAAGGGTCAAGGACGAGGCAAGGCTGGTTCCGTCGCTGCTAACGTCGGCGAGCGTACGCCTAGCAAAGGTAAAAGGAAGCGCCCGATCATGGACAGCCCCATGGCTGCTCTCGAAACGTCCACCGAGGACGTCGTTATGGGCGACAACAGCAAACATGATTCAAAGCCTTCGCCCCCGATCACGGTGGCAGCCCCGGCGGCGCCATTCGAAGTAGGTTTGTGTGTCGTCAATGTGAGGCTCGAGACTAATTTGCCCTATGTAGTTTCTTCAACTTGTGCTAGACCACGGTTCATTTCATCAACAACCTCCGACGTTTGATACGTTATCTCGGTTCACATTCCCCTCCGATCCGGCCACTTCGTTTGCTTCAATGATTTTTGAGAAACTGCCCTTGATGGGAAACCCCTACCGCCCCATGCAGCTTCTTGTTGACTTTGCTGAGCATATTGTGTCTCTTTGGACACGGTGTGTAGAGGAGCAATTTTGGGAACCTATCAAATATCTCGTGTCTCTCATCTCCTTCACGTTTGACCTTCACACAACGTCGGTGGCGCCTTTGATCGTACCCAGTCTGGTACCTGTCGCGCAATCCACCATTTTTACTCTGGCTGATTTGAGACGACGACTCCCAGATAGCCATCTGTCTACTAGCGCGGAGTACCGGTTTTTGGAAGAGCACATTGACACCAAACGGCTGTTGGGCCTCTTGTATACGTCGGCGCTATCGTGCTCAATGACGCCAACCGAAACAGACAATGGTTTTGAGTACACGTCGGTTGGGTTCTGGAAGTTGATGTCCCTTGACATGGTTCTATTACTCCTGACCCCGAGGCAGAGGCCAGGCGATGTAATAGGTATGCTCGAATTGCTTTCCACGTCTGTATTGCCCACATCCATCGGGCCTGTCAGCGGTGATGCAGAGCCGCCTGTCATTGCAAGAGCAATCATCGAGCGCGTTTCTGCCAAATTAACTGAACAGCCTCGCGGCTCCACGACTCAGAAACAGAGAAGGTCGATCAGACTGGCAGCACTGCGGACTCTAATAGCCTTCTCATTGTCATCTTTTGGAGCTCTACAGTTGGGTGTTCATGAGAATGCCATTCCTCGACTTGTTGCATGCCTAAGCGCTGCCATTGACGAGTTATACGATCAGCCGATCCCACCTAGCATCCTTCTGCCCCTTCCAGACTCTCTGAAGGAGTCTCTAAAACTGCCAGAGTCCACCGCATCGGCGGACCTGTATCGCATCATTTCGCAGAGTGTTCTTCTCATACACAGGCTGATCACGAATACTAGCACTGCCAATGTCGTAGACGTTAGTCAAAAGCTGTCCATGTCTCATGGCGGCAGTCAGCGATATCTCCTGGCGTTGGGTCGTCTGGCATTTGCAGAAGAGGATTTGGTAATTGAGGCTGGCATTGAAGGCGAGGTTGTGGAGGCAGCCCACGAGCTGTTGGAAATGGCCGTGACACCCGACGAGGGAGAGACGGTAAGCGAGGCGTTTGGGGCTTAGTATTTGGATTACCGGCGTTGAAAGGCCGGTACGAGCAATGTTTTCTTTAGGGTGGTAGAATGCCATAGGTGGGATTTTTTTAAATGTTCGGCTCAAACATTCTATAGGCATGTACATGGGATGCGTGCGAACAGCCGTCTTTACCACGGGTATTTTAGCGACAAGATAGTCTCAACTTTGAGTTGCGACCAGCAAATAATCGTTGCACATGTCCACTGAGCCTGGCTGCCCGGCCATACTCCGATGTATTCAAATTCCTTGTAACTAACATGAACATGATGCCTAGACAAAAAGAGTTCCATGGCAACGGCAGTTTTCAGCAACGGGACACTCGCAATCCCACTTACAGCCGACGTCCCAGGCGCGGCCGGGGAACGCGGCGACAACCCTCCTGGCGCCCTTGGAGCAGCTGGTGGCTCGGTGTCTGCAGAGACGTTTGTTTATGCGCATATATGATGCTATCACTGATAGGGCCTCGTCTGTCCCGTCATCGGGCGCCGGCCGCCTTGGCCCCCTTGATAGGCCTGGCGACCTGTTGTCCCAGCAAAGAAGCGCATCAACTGCTGCGCCGCCGTGGGTACAACAAGCTCGTGCAGGTGGCTCTAATAAAAGACACGACATTGTTGGTTTACACGATGGATGCATTCCAGCAAGTTTATTTAAAAGATGCAAGTCTAATGCAACAGACGCCGACATTTCCTCATCAAGACGGTTGGTTGTCCTGCCCTATCTTTGTAGCCTCGTACGCTTCCCAAATGCCCGCCCAAGGTTTCGCCAAACTCGATTCTGGAAACGCCAATTTTTTTTTAACACAATACAGTTCCTGGCAGAATGCTCCCCTCACGACCAGGACCGCCGACCGCTCATGGACCCATGATGCTTCTAAACCCCACGTTGTCAATGATCCAGGACGGACCTAGCTTGAAGACACCCGCGCCCTGCAACTTGTCGTCGGGACTGCCCACGGCCATGTGCGTCATGAAACCGCCGAGATGCCGATAGCGACGCGGAGGACCGGGCGGCAGCGAGCGCGTCGTACCTCTCAAAGTCGCGGTGGATGATGATGTTGATGTGTGGGCTCTGTGTGTTGTGTGTCACGGTCACGGTCACGGGCTTGCGACTGAGGACGGACGAGCAGACGAGGCTCGTGGCTCCGGCGCGCATGAGGTCCGGTGCATTGCGACTCGTGCGTTTGTGGATTTTGCGCTGGTGCGACGTGAGATGAGAATTGGCCGACGGGGGCGCATCACGGCCATGGCGGCCAAGCCATGGAATACACGAGGTAAAGATATACATTGATAATACATACGCGCGGCCGTCCAGCTGAGCCCGGCGTACGGAGTACATACACGAAGATTGGCTTCGCGGCCCGGACGTAGTGTCAGGCCCCGGACATGGATGGACTCGTGCAGGGTGCAGCGGCAAGCGCAGGCAATTTCGCGGCGCCGCAGGTACGCGCATCTCCGCCCGGCGGAACAAGATCTGACGGCACCGGGGTTCGCTTAAGCACCGTTGATGCCCTGGGCCCAATGGCCGCGCAGCAGTTGTTCGAATCCGGAAGGACTCCGTAATGAGCACCCAACGTCGGCAGGGTCCCAAGTTCCAACCACCCAAGATTGCCCCCCCAATTGTAATAGATCGCCGCCAGTCGCCATATAAAATTCGCAAAAACATAACACCGCGCACCCTCCCGATAACTCACATGGCCGGTGAGAAGAATACTTTGAACACGCACAGCACCAGGCTTGCTGGCTCCATTCCCTGTGTTACACGATGGCCTGCATTCGAAACGCCACTTTGATGACCCAACACCGCCGTGGGCAGCTCCGTCGCTGAAACACAATGTCGTCGTCGGCTGGTGTGTAGACTTGCTGTCGCTTTCATACTAGCCGCGTAAGAGCGTGATGGGGGATTACCCGGCGCTTCCGCCAAGGTCTCAAACAAAAATCAACCCTTTGATACCAAGGGGTCGTCTAGTTTGCCGGCTTGAATCTTTGGTTGCTGGCTTCCCGGTGGTAGTGATCCAGCCGCGTGAGACTAGGAGTCTACGACTGTCACGTCATGTGCGTCTCATCTCTTGCTTCAGTCTTGCCATCCTTTTTCTCTCTTTGGAACCCGAAATTTGTACCAGATGGACGCTACAAGTAGCCGTCTTTGTCATCGGCCAAACGAAGACACTGTCCATCGTCTATCAGAAAGCATTGGTCAGACTCTACACGAACAAACTCTAACCCGGAGAGATGCATATATTTACAAACAATGCATCAAAGCGCAGTCCGCCATGCTGTATAGCAGTCCTATCTATCCCTCACGAGTCAATCCTCCCCAAATGCAGTTCAGGGATTCCCCATGGCCTATCAGACCTTCTCCAGTTGTATCCTTCTACCATATCTTGATCTGAAAACAAAAGAAACGACTGCACGTTCCCTTTTATAAACACCTGTAATGTTCCCCCGGGGTTATGCCTTAATAAAACAGTGGTAATTGGCAAGGTGGCCTTGGCACCCATCCTTGGGAGGCATAGCCAGAGCGCCACCACTTTGCCGCGTAGAATGTTAACAGCCGGCCGTTGTAACAGCCGATAAAAGAATAAAGAGAAGAAGAAAAAAAAAAAGTTCAACTCCTATAACCTCAATGCCTTCCCATACGAAACCGCAACTCCCAGTCAAACTCCACACATTAGAATCGGTGCTGACGGCCCACGCTCTCTACCCTTACGCCAAGCTTCACCATTTCTCTCGAGTCAATCACACCACGACCATCAAACACCCACCGGGGCTTGGCCATGGCGTCGGCAATGCGGACCCAGTCAATTCGTTCCTTGGCCTTGTACTCCTCGGCGCTGCCCATGCCCGTGGCATGCCCGGTCTTCTTGCTTTGCCTCTCCTGAATGCAGTCGGGGCAGTCGTCAGCGCATGAAGGCTCAATGTTGAATCTGCCCAGCGGGTCGTCTGAAGTCTCGCTTGGCCGCTGGACAAGATACTTGTGCAGCGCCAACAAGTCATTCTCCGTAGGGACTGGTCTCTCGAACGGCCGGGGATCTGACTTCGGGTTGGGCTTGCGACCAATCATCTTGGGGGCGGCCTCTTGGAGAACAGGGGTTGGAGATGGCTTAGGAGCCGGCTGGTTCCTGAACTCATCGAATTCTGTAGCGATGACTACTGCGGTAGCACCGTTGCAAGCGTCGTAAGCATTGCCGTAGACGGAGATGTTGTTGCCTGCAGCGACATCTCCAAGAAGTGTCTTGATTTCCTCCTTGATGACGAGTGGGTTGCAGCACGGGTCAAAGACGGCAATTTCTCTAGGACGCTCCTCGAGCAGGGTCTTGATCATTTCCAGAGCAGGGGCCTCTCGCGTGTCAGAGGTGTTCTTCTTGAAGGCGTATCCCAAAATAGCAACCTTTTTCCCTACAAGAGTGTTGTTCAGACACTTGATGACCCGGTTCGTGAATCGGTCTCGCGCATAGTCATTCATCTTGACGACTTGCCTCCAGTACTCGCCAACTTCCGGAAGACCCATGGTATCAGCCAAGTAGACAAGGTTCAGGACGTCCTTCTTGAAGCAACTCCCGCCGAAACCGATACCAGCCATCAGGAACTTATTGCCAATTCGAGGGTCAACACCGACGGCGCGAGCGACTTCGTCAACATCGGCACCAGTTTGCTCGCAAACGGCCGAAATGGAATTGATACTGGAAATGCGCTGAGCCAGCATTGAATTGGCAACGAGCTTGGCCAGCTCAGATGACCAGACGTTGGTCGTGAGGATACGGTCCCGGGGAACCCAGGCAGCGTACACTTCGACAAGGGCTTCGGCGGCTTTCTTGCCTGAAGGGGTTGGTGCAGATCCAATCAAGATACGATCTGGGTAGAGCAAATCGTTGACGGCGGTACCTGCAGCCAAGAATTCGGGGTTGGATAAGATTTCGAAGTGGACACCGGGGCGGTGCATGGAAAGCTGTAAACGGCATGTTAGCCAGAGTAATAACACCAAGGGAGACTTGCGAATTGACATTGAACACGTCAATGCCCAAGTGATGGGAAATATACATGGGCTTAGAATTAACGTACAGTATCGGCAACGAGCTGAGCCGTCCGGCAGGGCACCGTGCTCTTCTCGACAATAATAGCACCCTCCCTGGCGTACTGCGCAACAACGGCAGTGACGGCCTCGAAAGCCGTCATGTCGGTTGCGCTTCCGGCGCCAACACCACGGTCCTTTGTTGGGGTATTAACAGCAACAAGGACCATATCGGCCTCGCCAATGCTCTTGGCCACATCCGTGGTAAAGAAAAGATTGGTGGGCCGGCTGGGCACCGAGATGTCGCCCTCTTGGGCAGAGGTCAGCTCGCTCTCAGAGGCACTCTCGTTGGCGAAGGTGAAATCGCGCGAACCATCGCGAGCGACACGGACAATGTCGTGCAGGCCAGGCTCGTATATGGGAGGGTGGCGCGAGTTCCAGCGGCGAATACGAAGCTCATCTCGATCAACAACCGTCACCTTGATGTGCGGGTTCTGGAAGGCAATGACAGCAGCGGTGGGACCACCTAAAAAATACCGAGGACGACCAAATGGTCAGCAACAAGTCTGGATCGAGCCGCAATGGGGTGCGTCATGCAAATGCAGAAGGGGGCGGGGGGCGAGGAGTTTGTTGAATGTCCATGACGAGGTGGGATGGATGCGTCGAGTCTTGTCGACTAACAACATGGAATCTATTATCTGGGGCGCTTTACGGGGCCACAAAACATACCAACATAGCCGGCACCGACACAGCAAATGGTGCGTACTTTGAAGCCATCCTTAATCACACCATTAGTGTGCTCCGGGGAGCCATTGAGGCCGAGTTTCTTGACGGAATCGACAACAGCTTCGTGCATGACGGCCACGGCGACACGGCGACACGACGAGGCGATCTGTACGCAAATATCTCGCTTCAGCGCAAGTGGATGGACCGGTCCCTCAGCGAGTGATGGAGGAGTCAGTGAGTGTCTGCGTCTGTGTCTCTGTCTGTCTCCGAACTCGGGACGGGTGCCGCCTTGGTTAGGTCTTTGTTGGATGCGAACGGACGC